CCCCCCGATGTGGAAGAGGAAACCAAGAACTGCTTTATAGAAGGAAGCGCACAGAGCTTATACCTCACACCATCAGAGAGGAGTTCAGTGTGTTGAACATTTCCCACACGTAGACAGCCGGGTGCCGCATTGGAATTCCTTAATCATATAAGAGCTTCATCACCCCAAACAACGGCCCCTCCCCCAGACAGCCGGCTGCCTATACTGAACACGGGGTCACATACATGTCATGTCGGGGGAAACACGCAGTATTGTCACTCCGCACATGTCCTAGTAGAATGGTTCCATGTAACCCCGGGAGGTCAGCCCTCAGGCTCCTCCAGCAGCCCCAGTGACGGTTCAGTCGCTCACACGGGGGCCCCGGGCAGAACAGAACCCCCTGGGGGCCAATGGAAGCCATGTGGTGTTTGGACGTTGTGTCGCAGCTTCCGTGGAATGTCTGAGCACGCGGTGACGGTTCATTTCACACGTGTGTAGACATTTCCATGTACATGCTGAACACGTGTCCCCTGTGAAGTGTCTGAACATTCCGCTGGTTCCATACAAATGATTGCCAGGGTGCGGGCGCCGTCGTGTCTGCCAGACGGGGATCTGCGTGTGTGGTGGCCCAGCAGACCTGCCAGCTGACAAACTGCAGGTGGTGGCTTCTATCCGAACTGGTGCATCTGGTGTGTGGGAAAAGTGAGCCCACAAGGATTCTACCGTGAAGGGATCTTAGAAGTGTGGGGGGAGGGGGATTCACGTGGCTTACTCCATGTAAGATTTGTATCTGAGCAGACGGTGGATGAGTCTCCCTCCAGTGGCGACCAATGGTATTACACGCCGTCTCTGGCTCCTCCCCCACCAATCGAGGCTCTCGAGTCGCTGTGGGGGGGATTTATCTACATTTGGGGGTGTTGTTACCACATGGGGGAATTTGGGGTTCTCCCGACAATCTTCCAGTGTGCACCCCTGACAGACAGTGATACCCTGCACCCCATCTGGGGCCCCTGTACCCCCTGCACCCCATCTGGGGCCCCTGTACCCCCTGCACCCCATCTGGGGCCCCTGCACCCCCTGTACCCCATCTGTACTACCCCACCATCATGAGGGCCCCTCACCTACCCCGCCCACTGTACTATCCCACCACCATGAGGGCCCCTCACCTACCCCGCCCACTGTACTATCCCACCATGAGGGCCCCTCACCTACCCCGCCCACTGTACTATCCCACCACCATGAGGGCCCCTCACCTACCCCGCCCACTGTACTATCCCACCACCATGAGGGCCCCTCACCTACCTTGATATTCTGGACAGGGTGGAAATATCGGCAGCCAATGAGAGTTCAGACTCTGTGCTCCTGGCCCCGCCCCCTACAGATAACACGCCAATACAGAGACGACATTGCAGGATATTTATTTCAAAAATAAAAACTCAGATTCTAACAAACACAGAGCTCCGCCCTTACTAAGCTGACTCCGCCCCCCCACAGGAACCGGGGGAGTCTCCAGACTCTCTGCAGAGACCGCCCCCCGTGCAGTGCTAGGACTATATCTAGGAGAGGAAAGTCTAATAACCACCAGCCCTGTGTGAGGGCCCCACCCACCCATCCCGCCCCGGGGCCGTGACCGTCATCAGACCGG